TATTCCTTCCAATTCAAATCCAACTATATAGACTTCCACCACATCATCGAATTTAATCACAAACTCAATTTTCGGGCAATTAATGAAGTCGAAAAAATGAACATTGCTTTCATCTTCATTGCTTGCTACATTTTCATTCGGCCCCTTTGTGGTTAAATTGTCATTCTCTTTAAGCTCTTTGTCTATAGTGGATATATCTTCGGATTGAATGATCGGTCCGCAATTCGATTCTATAGGCAATGAGAGGTCGGTCATGTCAACTCCTTGAAGTGAATAATACCCCATTGTTGAAATCCATCCCAGTACATATAATCTCCCATGAGTACGTCGTTTTCATCCAACTCGACAAGTTCTTTAAAGTACTTTGCAAGTACCTTCTCATTCAGTAGGGGAGGACCATCTCCCAAAAGTTTGATGTCCTCATCCCAATCGTAAGGTACAAAATCTCCCACTAGCATGTATCCTTCATCGTTTTTGTNTAAAGTGGACCTTAGGAGTCCGGATTGTCAATGGCTTGTTTTCGACACCTCAAATATTTTCTAAACCTTAGATGTTTCGGCGTTTGTAAACTAGTGTACGAGAACAAGCATGGCCTAGTACAATGCACCGTGTAACAATTATCACAACTTGAATGTTCTCCAAGCATATCTTGATTGTCCATAAAGAGATTTGTCATTGCAAAAGTTTTGTTAATTTACCAAAGTTAGAATCAAGCAAATATCTGAAAAGTACAGAGAGAAAATACAAACACAAGACAGATTAACAATATGAGGGTTAGCCAAAAGTATACAAAATAATAATAATAATAATAAAGGCAAATAAAATTAAATTAAAAAAATTGTTAAAATTAAAATTAACTAAAGTGATAATCAAAGTAAAAACATTCCCCGGCAACAGCGCCAAAAACTTGTTCGCTCGAAAATATACCGTAAGTGCACGGGTCGCATACAAGTAATAAAGTGGACCTTTGGAGTCCGGGTCGTCGATCCCTCGAGGAATGTTACTTTAAATTACATGACTTTAATAAATTTAATTCTAGCAATCAAATGAAACACACACAATTAAACATTAGATTTGAAAAGCGGTAAATAAACTAAAAAATCTACAAAATAAGAAAAATACAAATACTTGGAGATTTCGGATGAAGAATGTGGTTGGGATTCGTGGTTTCGTTTAACCATCGCCTAATTAATTTCTCTATAAGCCAATTAATGAATTATTTAATTCCGATGTTAGACCCGATCTTCCAATTTTAGTTAATTACCTCTCTCGAGTGAAATTAACCCTAATTGATTGGTTTAACCTACTATATCTCTATGTCGATTACAACCAAACAATCGCATTCAATCATTGTGAAAATAGCTCATTGGGTCACCTAGGGCTAATGATATATCTCTATCCATTACACAAAC